AAAAAAAAAAAAAAAAAAGGAATCAGCAGGGAGCCATAGAAGCTGGACTTGAGGCCCCAAGCCTTGCACTATCCTGGCTGTCACAAACTTTCAAATAAAGTGTATTTCTTTTTTCTTCCTAATAAAATCCTGAGAGGAAAAGAGAGTCACAGTCCAACTCTGGCAACCAGAAAAGAAAGAACCACCTTAAACCAGCTCTTTGAGACAGAGGTCTCGCTTTGCTGGACTTTTGGTCCCCTGCATCTGGCAATGACCCCAGAACATGGTTCCCTAGGAGTTCACAAATATTTATTAAATGATTCCTTTAAAAAAATTAAGATCTGAGGGAACAAACCCTCACAGCAAAAAACATTCCCACCCCCTCCACACACAGAGTAGATAGAGATGGGCAACTTGGACATTGGATACCCAAACAGGAGGGCAGGGGGAGGAGGGACCACAAAGGTAAGAAGTAACTGGCTTACAAACTTTCAAGAGGGAACCTAGAGCTCGGGGACATGGAGGAAGGCAGAATCTCCAGTGAGTACTGTCCAATCTGTCTAGGCGGAGCTGATGAAATGAAATGCAGAAGGGTCACTTATGACACAATAGTGAATGATTGTTATCAGGACTGATTATGAGGGTTGGAAATGTAAAGGTAGACATTTTGTAGCAAGGAAGAGAGTGATTAACTCTCCAGTCTAGGAGCGGAGGTCTCTGGCACCATCAACCGAGAAGAGCCGAGAGTGGGACCTTACCCAGAGAAACAGTGAGGCCCAAGATGGAAGCAGAGACAATGAAGTGGAGTGATGAAGCGGATGGGGACTTTGGATCCAGAGAGGGAGAGGGACTGGGTCCTGAAGAATGGAGGGGAGGAGGGGAGTGTAGGGGGCGGGTTTATAGGGTATACCCTTTGGTTGGTTGATGATGCATGAAGGGGATTGGAACCATGGCAATGAGACGATATACAATGGAATGAATGTAAAACTAAAGTTCTCTCATGTAAAATATCATATAATTCACAATAAAACATGAAAAAAATTAAGATCTAATTCACATATAAAAGCTAATCTTTCAAAATGTACAAGTCAGTGGTGTTTAGTACAAGGCTGAGCAAAAAAGTCTTGCTACTAGGGCTCTGGGGAGCATGGTGGCCTCATATGATAAGCACTGGACTGCAATCCACAAGGTCCTTGGTTCGAGCCTGCCAGCCGATCCCCAGAAGGAAGATGAGCTCCTGTAAAGATTTAAGTCTTGGAAACCCTAAACAGGGTTGGACTGACTCAATGGCACTTAACAACAAGAAGTAGGGCTCTAGTTCATACCTACACAGCAAACATATTCCCTCAGTAATACGCTTGTCTTACACTCCTTAGGATGCTTTCAAACAACAGGATCCAGTCAAAACAACAGTTTGTGAGATCTGCTGGCTCAGTTAAGTTCAAGGCAGAGGTGTCAGCTCACAAGGTTATGACATCTGTTTTTACGGACTCCCAAGGGGTAATTTTGATAGACATTCTCAAAGAATACAGAATGACCTTGGGGACATATTAGAAAGATACTTGAAGAACATTGAAGTCTGCATTAATGAGGAAAAGGCCAGGAAAGATGTGCTCGTGTCTAAGGACATGTTTTTCATCATGACAATGGACCTAGTCAGTCTTTGAGGGTAACAAGGGCTCCCTGTGAGAATGTCACTGGGAAGCAGTACTTCACTCACCCTGCAGCCCTCATCTTGCCCTTTCAGACTTCTTTTTGTTCCCCAAACTCAAAGAACATTGAAAAGGAACCTGATTTGAGTCCTTCAAGGATGCAAAACTGTCATTTGGGTCTAATATAAGTAGTAGAGTACAGAATTCTGCAGAGGAAGGGTTGGTGGGGATGGTTATGTGCTGTTGAGTCGGTTCCAACTCACAGTAATCCTGGCGAGGGTTTCCAAGGCTGTAACTCTTTATGAGAACAGCAGGTAGATTTGAACTGCTGACCTGGTGATTAGCATCCCAACTCATAACCCACTATGCTACCAGAGCTCTTTAGAAGGGTTGTTGTTAAATGCCGTTGAGATAGTTGTGACTCATAGCGACTCGTCCGAAGTATGAGAGACAAAGTTTGGCCATGGTGGCCTCCAAGGAGCTCTCTAGCTGCACTTCTTCCAATACAGATCTGTTGCTTCTTTTGGCAGCCCATGGCACTTTCAATATTCTCCTCCAACACCATAACTCAAAAGCATCAATTCTTCTACGGTCTTCCTTATTCACTGTCCAGCTTTTGCATGCATATGAGGTTATTTAAAATACCATGGCTTGGGTCAAGCGTACCTTAGTCCTCAAGCTGACATCTTGTTCTTCAACATTTTAAAAAGGTCTTGTGCAGTAGATTTGCCTAATGCAATACGTCATTTGATTTCTTGACTGCTGCTTCCATGAGTGTTGATAATTGACCCAAGAAGAACGAAGTCCTTGACAACTTCAATCTTTTCTCCATTGATAAGAATGTTGTTTACTGGTCCAGTGGTGAGGATTTTTGTTTTTTTTTTTTTACACTGAGATGCAATCCATACTGAAGACTGTGCTCTTTGATCTTCATCAGTAAATAAATATTTTAAGTCCTCTTCACTTTCAGCAGAGATAATAGGAAGGTGTAATTTAGATAGTGAGTTAATTTCATGGCACTTCCAAGTTTAGTGGGGACAGCAGGCAGATTGTCTGACAGGGCTAAATCTAGGAGGACGGATTGTTGGAGCTCAGCTATGATGGGCTTCCAGTGATGAGAACCTTCCCTGACAGATGAAAGGTTTCTGTTTTTTTGCTGGTTCTCAGGGCTCGATTCAGGAATCCAGAGAAACAGGGACCGTGCGCCTACTTAAAGAAGAGGCAACATTTAGCTCTCAGAAGCAACTATCACAGTAATGTTCTGTGGTCCTTCGTTGGCACTCCAACAAATGGGTGCTAGAAAAGGAATTCTTTCAGGCACTCTCCCTGCTTAGAATGATTCCCACAACCAAAATGTCATGCAAGCCATTAGTGATCGAACCCCCATTTCTTGAGCGATGCAGGGGTGGAGGGGTGACACCTACAGAGGGGGTAACACCAGAATGACCCCGGACCCAGTGGTGGCGGCAGTGATAGCAGCAGGTAGCCTGGTGCTGCAGCGTGTGAGCGATTGAAGAGGAAGGGCTCCACCTTGACCAATGGGAGAGAAGAGCTGTGGGGCATGCTAGTGGGTGCGTTGGGAGGGGCTGCCCAACCCCCATGGAGGGGTGACACCAATCCACAGGTCTGGGTAAGTCACAGGCACTCTGCAGGCACTTGCTGACAGACCTAGGACCTGACCTGCAAGGCTGGCCCAGCGTTTCGTCTCACTGTGGTCCCGGAGTACCAGTGAAAGCAACCCTTGCAGAGAACACAGGGCAGAAAGGTGCATTTCGTTGCCTGGTACTTGCCTACACAGACGCTACTCTTGGAAAGAAAAGGGAACAAAAAGACTGAATTGTGCATGCAGGTACAGAGGATCGTCTATGGATCATGTTTATTCCCAAACCTGGACCAGACACACTGCACCCTGCAAGATCCCTGAGGCCCTGCGTGAGGGCTGGAAAAGTAAGGCACTGAGTCAGTGCTACTGTACGCCATGGATGCCTAATATGAAGACCCAGGAGTCCTAACTTTAGAGACTCCATCTCCCTTGGGTCTAAGAGAACAGGGAGAAGCTCCCCTTTTCCTCTCCTTTAGTCTCCAGTCCTGGGAGTCAGGCCTGTCTGCTGAGGTATTCTGAGGAAGCCAGGGCCTCTCTGTCAGCCTCCATTCTGACTAAGAGGCAGGGTGAGAAGCGCCAGGCTCCAGGCAAACAATGATGGCCAGAGGACAGGGAACAGACACCAAACCCTGGCAGGGAACTGCCTTCCAACCGGCTTCTGTCTGTCAGGGCCAGCGCTGCTGGGCTGGGCTCCCCATCTACTACTACCAAGGAGACAGAGTGGTGGGGGCTCAGGGAGTTACCCCAAGATGGACTGTAAGCTGTGGGGAGGGAGCACTGTGCCTGTAGGAACCTGTCCAGCTGAAGAGAAGTTTGTTCTAGATGCCAAAACCCAGGCTGCAATCAGCAGAAACACGGGAGTCACCAGAACCAGATGGGTGGTGGTCGTGGGCCCCGGGCCCCAAGGTTGGCATCTCCCCAGACTCACTTTCCATAACACACAAGGGCCACTCTTTTCTCCAGAAACTGTAAGGTGGTAGCCTCACAGTTTGCTTCGCGGGGCCTCTGCCAGGGGCCGCTGCAGCCGCCACACCACCCGGACTGGCTCAGCTGCATGGTCCAGCTGGCGGAGACCACACAGACCACCAGTCTCCCGGTACCTCTGCAAGGCCGGCTGGAGCACCGTGATGGGGATGCTGAAGTTCAGGTGGGGGTAGGTGGCCCCCGTATTATTGTCCCGGGTGTTGCTGGCAACAATGCCTGTTGAGGAGTCAGAGAGGAAAAGAGGACGTGACCCAGGGGGACAGACAAATGGATGGGGAAGGAAGGATGACCACGTCCACCCTGGAGCTGCCAGGCCTAGTCACTGGCATACTGTCATGGATACCTGTCCCCACACCCAATTTGACTTTCTCCTAAACACGCTCACTAGCTGACACATTAGAGGCATCACTGTGCTGTCGAGGATCCTTCTCTCCACTAATGTGTCATGAGGGTAGGCTGTGTGTGGTTCATGTTGTCTCCCTGGTGCCTAGAACAGTGCCTGGCACACAGTAGGTGCATAACAAATCTTGTTAAATGAATGCGTCAAACCCACAGCCAAGTTTCATCTGGCCTGCTCAGTGTATGAGTGGTATGAGTGTGTGTGCATGCATTTTTTTATTAAAGCCAATGTGACACTTGGCATTAGAGTTAAGGAGCTGAATGGCTTGAAACCCTGGGCTAAGGACTTCCTGGGTGTAAACCCACCCATCTTCCAGACAGCAGTTGCTCCCAAGACGGGACACCAAGCACTTACTGGGTGGGCTGAGCACTGACAAGGGGAAAGTTGGTGAAGGGCCACAAAACTGGTTACCTAGGAGGTTCCCTGTGCGGGTGGAGAAGAGAGGTCCCCCACTGGAGCCGCCGTGCACGGCACAGGTGGTCTGCAGCATCACTGGTGTGCTGTCCACATGCACCACAGCTGACAGGATGCCCGAGGTCACTGAGGGTCCACAAGCCTGGCCGAATACACCAAAGCCTACCACGCTGACGGCCTCACCTGCCAGGGAGGGGAGAACAGTGAAGCAGCTCCCCACTGCCCAGCCCCACCCTCTGTGAAAGTCCAAATTCTCTCTGCCCTCCAAGTTCTGCCCAGGTTCCCCAGCAGGAAAAGCACTCCACTGAGCTTCCAGCATGGAACCTATTCAGTGATGTATGCTGAGCACTAGGTTGTCCCAACCAAGCCCCCATTCCCCTGCTAGATGGTACAGGGGGGAGGGAGGGACTCCTAGTTCCTATCTTGGAATCTGAGGGTGCGAATAACCTACATAACTGTGAACCCAAAGGTTGGAGCTCCACCCAGAGGCACCTTAGACAAAAGACTTGGAGGTCACTGAAAAGCCTATGGAGCCCAGCTGTATTCTGACACACTGAATATCAGATTGGCAGCCATTGGCTAGCACCTAGCTAGGTGTTAAGTGTCTGTGGAATTAACAGCATCTCCTCGCTAGGCGTCTCTGAGGGAGAAGAAATGGCACTGATGACTACAGCCCCTGGGGCTCAGCACTCTCCAAGCACCACTTCAGTCCTCACAGCGCCCAATCACAGATGTGGAAACTGAGGCAGAGAACACTGCAAGGACACAACCCAGAGGGCCTGTACTCTCTGGTACCATATCACACAGCCTCCAAGAGGTGAGGCATCTGATACTTACAGGGTGGCTTTATGGAGCCTTTCACCCAGATCATGCCTTTGGCACCTCAAAAGTACCACACATCCTCACACCACACAGCTGCCAACTACCTGAAAGCTCCCACCTATTGGTGATGAGATGGGCATCTGCAGGAAGGGCTTCCAAGGACAATTCTGGCCAAAGTATTGTAACCAGGATGACATCATAGTAGTTTTGATGGCACCCTAACTCAGCCGGGGTGGGGCCTCCTCATTGGGCAGGGTCAGCACATCCAACCCTGACTTCCCTTCCTGAGGTCTCCCCACACAGGCTGCGCACCTTTGCCCATTACCTTCATGGAAGTGTTCAGCAGGCACAGGTAGGGGAACGCCAGCCAACTCCTTCTCCAGGTGCACTACTGCTATGTCATAGGGGGACATCTCTCGAGTAGCAAACACCACACGCCCCCAGACGGCAGCACTCCTGAGAGCAATGGAAACAAATGACAGGCGGGACCAGGAGATGCGGGAATGACAGCAAAAGTCATGGTCTTGGCCAGAAGACCTGGTAGCAGCCCTGAGACGTACCAGCCAGGCAAATCTAGTTACAGCACTTAAATGAAGTGCTATTTCCAAACACGCTTTATAAACAGTACACATGTATTTTTTCTCCCCCACACACGTCTTTTTGACACTTCCTAAACATCACCATTGGAGCTCTGGTGGGGTAGCAGGTTAAGTGCTGGGCTGCTAAACTCAAGGTCAACAGTTTGAACCCACCAGCTGCTCTGCATGAGAAAGATGAGGCTGTCTGTCCCCATAGAGATTTATAGCTTTGGAGAGGACAGTTCTACTCTGTCCAATAGAGTCATGATGGGCCAGAATTGACTCTACGGCAGTGGGTTTTTGGTTTTGGGAACATCGCTATAATAATGATCAACTAGTATGTAGTGGGAAGGAGCTCTGGTAGCGTAGTGGTTATGAATCGGGCTGCGAACCGCAAGGTCAGCAGTTTGAAACTACCAGCTGTTCTGCGGGAAAAAGATGACGCTTTCTGCTCCCGTAAAGATTTACAGCCTCGGAAACCCTGTTAAGAGTCACTATGAGTCGGAACTGACTCCACAGCACATATCAACAACAACAGTGTGTAGTGGGAGTCCTTGAGTAGAGCAAAGGTTAGTGTACTCAGCTGCTAACCCAAAGGCTGAAGGTTTGAGTACATCCAGAGATGCCTTGAGAGAGAGGCTGGCAATATAGTTCTCAAAATATCAGCCACTGAAATGGGGTCACTACGAACATGTGCTATAGGATCATATAGGATCAGCACTGTACTCTGGACCACAAGGTCAGTGGTTCAAACACACGTCGGAAACCCTGTACAGGGTCACTATGAATTGGAATCAACTCGGTGGCACTTAACAAGAAGTACTTGTACTTAGTACTGTAGCACTTTACAAGTTAATACTCACAAAGACAGTTTAGAGACAAAGTGACATATCCAAGACCCCACGGGATTCCTACCATACACTCTACAAAGGTAGCATCTAGCAGTTTCATTAGAAGCAAACAGTATGCATATTGGGGGTAGGGTGTGCGAAATTATGGTTACAGTAAAGCCAGGCTGGGTGAACTTCTGGGAGTCAGAAGAGGGATTTGGAAAGACCAGGCCTGGGAGGTTGGGTTTAGCCATTGAGTGTTAACACCACGGCTCTATTTGGCTTTCCTTTGGCCTCAGTTAATCACCTGAGGCTACTGAGCCAATAAATACAAGGTGCACTAAAGAACCAACCCAGGAAGGCAAGGAAGACAAGGTGGAAGTAAAGATGAGAAAGGGTTCATCTGTAACTTTGATCCAGAAGGAACAGATCTATAAGATCTCATTACCTTAGGAGGCAGTATCCTGGGCCCCGGGGGCTTCACTACTTTGAGGGGGGTGCAGGGTTAGGAAGTCTCCATTCAAAGAGAATGGGGTTGAGGGCTATGAGGCAGAGAAGTCACGCAAAAGAATTTCAAAGTCTCAACAACGGCCAGACCGGGATGCAGGAAAGACCTTTGTTGTTAAACGCCCTTAGTCGATTCGTACCCACAGCAACCCTCTATTGGGTTTCCGAGTAGTGGCTGTTGAGCTTGAACCACTGACCTTGCAGTTCAAACTCACACTGAAGTAAAGCGCATTAACCCACAGTGTCACACCGGGGCTCCATAGGAAAGCCCCACACTTGCCAAATTCAGAGTTGATTGGAGCTTAGCTTCTTGCCCAAGACCCATTCTACCCCTGCTGGGCAACCCAGATCCCTCTACATTGGGATTCTGGGTGTCAAAGATGAGAGGAAAGTCCCAGGACCCTATCCATACCATGGCCCCAGTGTGATGCCAGTGGGCAAACCAGGTGAGGGATATGGTGGGAGCAACCGTGCGGGCCTTACTTGGGGATGGTGGAGCGCACCAGGACCCTGGCGGCCTCCCGAGGGGCCACATGCCTGCAGGTCACCACAAGGTGGGGCGCCACAGCCACTCCGGAGCCCCATACGGTGCCACACTCCACCAGCACGGCTGCGGCTGCCCAAGGTAGCCTGGGGTCTAGGAGGGACAGGCCCCTCGGGGCGCCCACCTCCAGCGGCAGCTGGGTGGCTAGGGCAGCGGAGTCCGGGCGCAAGCGGACGAGCGCTGCGCGGGCAGCGCGGAGGAGAGGGGCAGCGGCACAGAGCAGCGTGAGGCCCACCCACTCACGTGCCTTCCAGCAGAGCGGCGCCGCCACCAGCGCCACCAGCGCGCCCGCGGGCCGCGCCGCAAACACACCGCCTCCCTCTGTGCCCGGCAGGCAGCGCGCGTCTGTGAGTAGCAGCGGACCGGCAGTGTTGCTGAGCACGCCACGGCTCAGCGTGTTGAGAAAGATGTCGGGGCAGAAAGCACCGAACGGGGAGCCGCAGGCCAAGAGCGGCGCGCCCTTGGGGATGGCCCCAAGAGGCGCTACTGCCAAGGCCTCCCCGCGCTCTTCCGCGTCCTCCTTGGCCGCCGCCGAGCCAGGCCGCACACGCAGCAGCGCGAACCAGCCCAGCGCTCTCAGCTGATCCTCCTCGTCGTCCTCTGACAGGTCGTCTGGCGCCCCACTCGCGAAGCGCCACTGCTCGGCCGCCTCCCCTCTGAAGAGGCGCGCGAAGTGGTCCCGGAAGGTCGGGCAGCTTAGCAGCAGCAGCAGCTCAGCAGGGCGCGGGGGCTGCAGGGGCCGCCCGCGGGACCGGGCGGTTGGGCCGGGCTCGGGGCCCGAGCACTGGGGCGTGCTCAAGCCCAGACGGTCCCGCTCCGCTTGGCCTGCCGGACTCGCGGCAGTTGGGCCCCACTGCACGTACAGACGCAGGTCATCTCCGCAACTGTCGCCGGGCAGGAAGGCGGCGCTGGCAGCGGTCAGGGCCTCGCTGCCAGCCCGCAGGAAGGGGGTGAAGATGCCCCCATGGCACAGAACTAGGCCCGGGCTACGGCTCAGGATCACCCCGCTGCAGCTCCACGAGCCCTCCTCGGGCTGACCAGCCCGAGAGGCGCTCACCACGCAGCCTGCCTGCTCGGCCGCCCTCATGGCATGCCCCCACTGCCGCCCCATGGCCTCTGAGCCAGTGCAGCACGAACTTCCGGGAGAAACAGGTGGGAAACTGATCAGGACCCCGGCCTGGACGGGATGAACCCACGCAGCGCCACCCGGAGCTAGAAGCGAGAGGCGCAAGCACTTACTGCGACTTTCCTAATGGAGCCGGATTGGTTTAACCCCATTTAACTGGCCGGGATTGGCTGGGATTGGGGCCGAGTTCTGATTGGCTACTTATGTTGCTCCCTCCTTTCCCCGCCTTCGTTGGCTCATCCAACCTGTGGGACGAACAGGAAGCAGCTGTCTCCGTGGACGAGCCTCTAGTGCATCATAGGCTGTGCAGCTGTACACCGCAGGGGGAGGATCCCTCGGAGCCTAATCTGTTCTTAGGGAGTAGAAATGAGCTGACGTGGCTGGATTTGTGCAGGCCTTGACAAGACCTGTCATAACCGGCCAGCTGTAGAAAGCATTCACCCTCTGAATAAGGAGATCCTTGGCCAATTCAGTATTTAGAATTTTTTCACCCGTTGACTTGGAGCTCGAAAGATCTATTACTAGTACTTTTGAATGCCAAAGTTTAACGCCAAATTTCATAAGATGATTTTATTGTAAATAAAAGTGTCCTCTAAAATGTGTAGCTGACGTAAAAAATTTAAATTATACAGCCTTACATTTTGCATAAGCACTTGTCTGCTAACCACAAGATCGGCGGGTCAAACCCACAAGCTACTCTTCGGCAACCTTACATATGGTTATCAGTAGAAACCGACTTAACCACACTTAACACCATATTTTGCAATATGTACATCTCATATAGCGATATAAATTCAATACTTAGGGTGTATCCAGAGTTCTGGTGTGGCGCTGTGGGTTAATGCGCCAGACTGCAAAGCCGTTAGAACTGCAAGATCGCAGGTTCGAGCTCACCAGCTGCTCCTCGGAAACCCTATACAGGGTCGCTATGGGTCCAAACCCGACTTGACGGCACTTAACAACAGGGCGTATCTAGACCAGAGGGCTAAACCTGTATCTTAAATAGATTTTGCAGGCCATACAATCTGTCTCAAATACTCAACTCTGCAACTGTCGCATGCAAAAGCTAAACGAGTATCCATGATTATGTTTCAATAAAACTTTACTATGGGCACTGAAAGCTGAATTTCATGTAATTTTCACATGTCACAAAACACCATGCCTTTTTTTTTTTCTTCTCAATAATTTGAAAGTGAAAATTTTTTTTTCTTAGCTTACAACCTACACAAAAACACCAAAATATGGCTTTGGACTAGTAGCCGTTACCCAACCTGTGATGCACGGTAACATAAAACTTCTCTACTTTGGTGGTGTAGTGGTTACAAGTCGGGCTGCTAACCTCCAAGTCAGCAGTTCCGCAGGAGAAAGATGAGGGCTTTCTGCTCCGGTAAAGATTTACCACATGGGCAATCCTATACAGGGTCACTATGAGTCAGAACCGACTCCGCAGCACATCACCATCACTTTTCCACAGTACTCTTGAGGACAGGGAAACATTAACAAGTATGTTTAGAAGGGGGCACTCAGGGCAGCCCCAAAGCAGTCACAAGCTAGACATTTTGTGAAACTCTGTTCTGACCCTCTATCACTAAAGTGCATTTAACAAGTGTACTACAGTACAGATCTATGTCAGCATTAAGGATAATGAAAAAACATTTTTTAAAAGATTTTATATTAAGTGGTTTACAAACAAGATTACCAATTTTATAAAAAATCATACTTTGTTTCATCTCGATGATTACAATCCCCTCCATGCAACATCCCTCCCATAACTCCTATTGCCTCTCTACCCACCTTCCCCTGCCTTCTCAACTTTTCCCTTTTGATTTTGAACTGACCATTCCACGGTGAGCACACCTTAATTAGTGTTGTCCCCACCACATATCTATCTACTGCTTAGCTGGAAATTTAGCTATAAAGTTGAGTTCCTTTCCAGACCCAAAGGGTGGTTGATGAAGGACCAGTCTCGGGTTCCTCGTCTCTTTCTGACCAGAATGCCCAGTCTTTTTATTCTTAAAAAATAATTTTGGAGTTGTGTTCCACACTTGATAATGAAAAATACTGTTTAACTTCCACAACCTTTCTGCCTCAAATCTCTGAACGCTGTTGCTAGGTGTACTCCCAGCACAACATAGGGTAATACGGTGCCCCAGGCCTATTTGAGAAAGGGAAATTTTATCATGCTGGTGAGGTAGTCTTTGGTTCACTCATACTCAAGTTTCTAGCATGAACTGCCATGCATCCGTTTTTTGTTTACAGCAGACCACAGTACAGTTCCAAACCACAGCAAATAGCAGGCAAGGTGAGACCTCCTTGAAGGCTGAGTTCATTGACTCTAAACGTCATGTTCCGCTCAAAAGACACCAAGCCCTGTATACCCAGCATTCTTGTATACTTCGTTGTTGTTCTTATGTGCCATGAGTCAATTCTGATTCATAGTGATCCTGTATAGGGTTTCTGAGGAGCAGCTGGTAGGTTTGAACCACCAACCTACTGGTTCACAACCAGTGTTTATCCACACCCGGAGTCCTAAGAAACATTATTTGAATAGAATGCCTCCAATAATTTATTACTTAAGTCAAAAAGAACCAACTGCATTTTTGTTTCCCATTCAATTTGTGGCGGTACTTTCATTTTGGAATTTTGAGGTTTTCTAAAAGCAAGGCTTCTCACAAGTCCATTATATGCACAAGCACAGATTTCATTCCTCCTATTTTTTAAAACGCGCCATTCAACTTACTCAACTCTAATTTTGTGTAAAATGGTGTGAAAGCGTTCCTGGAGCCAGTGCTCACTGGCAGACGTCATCACGTGTGCTATGCCCTTCTGAATGAGCACCCACTAAGACCACAAGCTGTGCCAAGACTCTCAGATCAAACTGGATTATGACTGTCAGTGGAATGCATTCACAGGCCTGGTCTACTCACCCAGCGGCAGAAAGTCTCTCATACGCATCTTAAACATTTCTTCCTATGAGTAGAATTTTAATTTCCCCCCAAACAAACATCATGATATGCTGATATTTTTAAACACAAAATTCAGAACATAACACACTCACAAAGATAGCAAGTTTATTTTCATTTTTATTAAAATGCTTAGGATACAGACTGACTTTCCCTTGTAAATGACCATTTGACGTTTCCTGAAATAGGACACAGATGCACTCTGATAAAACAGAATGAAAAGTCTCACTTCACAGGCGTTCCTGTCAAAGCTCTGACCCTTCCGAATGGAGCAGGGCTCCTCACAGCTGTTTCCTGCAGTGATCAGTTCACAGGAGTGGTGTTCAGTGGGGAAGAAATGGGCTGGTGCTGCTTGACTTTTCAATCCCTCTTTCTCCAGTGGCCAAAAGAAACCACTTTCACAAAGAGCTGCCCTATCTAGAACCCCCAGTTAATAGGGGCAAATACAGGGGAAAATAACAAACAAGAAAACAAACACCGAAGCAACCATAATTCTCATGTCTCTGGATAGAGAAGTATGGATAACTTTTAGCCAAAGGAAATATAGGATATAAATCACCTACTGAGTTCATTCATGTTAGCTGGATTTGTTCATGTAAGGCTAATCTCCTCCCCAAACTCAATCCAGCTATGCCATCTCAGACTTGATCAAGTAAGTCTCTGCATCTGGTACCCGGCAGTGAAAAAGCATGCTTCCCCAAAACGTCAAATTGAAGACTAAGAATGGGAAATCCAATTAAAGTAAGTTTCATCCACAGGAATATGCTATTTGTACTTTGCCTACCCTCCCATCAGAATCTGGAATCCACTGTCCAATCCTCTGCAAATCAGCAGCAGATCAGTTTTCAATTTTGAGGAAATTACTTCTAATCTTTCATTAAAGGAAAAATGAATAGTCTCCCAACTTAAGACCAGACCACTTCATCTTTTATACCAAAGATGAAGAGAGGTTAAGATCATGAAAATCCAATTTCACACATGGCATTATGAGAAATGAAAGGTCTTGGATTAGTGTTTTCCCCCATCTATTTCTGGATAGGAGAAAGGGCAAATTTCATAACAAAAATTTTTTTTACCTGGAAAAGCAACAGAAGTTAACCTTTACTTTAAATACACACACACACACACACACACACATAGATAACTGATAAAAAGAAAAGATGTCAGAAAAAGAAAGCATTCAAAATAGTAAAGAGCCCAAATCCTCAAAGTGGGAAAAAAGCCCAACTGATTGCAAACTGCTGTGTAACCTATTCTAAGTCCTCAACTTAAACTTAGAGAGTTAGAGAGTCCTCAAGCTGTTAGCTTTGCTCCGTGTGACTCTGCTGCTCAGAAACATTTCTCCCCCAGAATCTGTGCAAAAGTAACTGAGATACATCTGCAGTATGCCACGTGGGAACCTGGCATTAATCTAGTCTAGGAGGAAGTCATTTTGTGTAACTGAAAATGAAAAATGAAGGTGCTATAGGCATGAATGAAATCTCTTAAGTATAAAAAGCAAACACTGGCTGCAATTTGTAACTTTACAAGTAAAAATAATAATGACAACCCACTTTCGCATAACTCCTCCTCAACGAGCCCTCAGCTATTATCCCGTGATGAGGTCACCACAGTGGGAACCTGCTGCAACTGCTAGGCCAGGGTACTGCCACTTCTCTAATAACCTGTGCACAAAGTGATGTCACCTACCAAAGGCAGTTCTAGAGGCAGGTGAGCAAGTGGGCAGCGGACTTCTCTTACCAGCCCGCTAGATCAACAGGAGTAACTTCACCTGCCTGAGCACAGGTCTCCAATGTGAATCTGTTCATAATTTTATGAATATCGAAATGCCATTCACTAGATTAAAAAAAAAAAAAGAAAACTCTGGACCAAGTAAATTGTGAACTCAAAAGTTAGGAGGGACACCAATTACATTAACAACACTTTCTTTAAAAAATAGAATCACTTTCTTTTTGAATCAACCGCAGTGGTGAGACGTGTTTTTCTTTTTCAGGTGCCCCATGATGGCACACAGCTTTACCT